GAAAAGTTGGTAGCAGTACATAGTAGTGCTTGAAATAATTTTCCATTGTTACTTATAAACTTCAAGTTTGGTTTTTTTTTTTTTTTTTTCAGTAAAAAACTGATCCCAGGTAGCTGTAAGGCAGCTAAGAATCCATCAAGTGTTTTAAAATCCATAGTAATCTGAGATGTATTGACTTCAATACCTGGCTATAAACATCCAAAGGGAAAATTACTTACCAATATGCCACATAAATATATATGATCTCTAGCTGAGGTCTGAGAAAGATGAAGTTGACTGGTAAACCATTAAATAATTTGCATACAAGGCGTCCTTTAAGTACATCTGCAGTGATCTATCCCATTTAAAAGCACAGCATTCACAAGTAATCACAGAAATCTACAAAGCGTTTTTGTACAAAAAACTCAACATGACTCTGAAGAGCGAGCAAGTCTTTAAGGTGGTCCTTTGAAGAGGTCCAGAGAATTATCAGTGTATTTTCAGAGTGACAGTAATGTGAATTTGACAATAGTATCTTCTAGGGCAGTGAGAAAAGGGGACTTTACAGTATGTATGCTGTATATTCCAGTGTAAATACACGCTTTCCAGGAATATACCTGTACATGCGGGTATACGTTTCTCCATTTCCAAGTTGGCAATAGGACATTTTTATTCTTGCTGCAGAAAACGCAGACCAGGAAGGTTCATAAAGCCTTCAACAGAATCCAGACAGACCTGGGTGTCTGGATCACACTGACCCAGTGTGACTGGGGACAGCGACTACCCCCGAGTGAGCGGGTAGCGTGGGTTTGGGAGGGACCTGCCGCCCCGACAGCCTCCGGCCCGCAGAGCATCGTGCCGCACAGCGGGCACCTGCGCTGCGGTCTGGGGTACCTGTGCGGTACCGCTCCGGCCGGCAGGGATGGGGCAGGAGGGAATGGGAATGGGGATGGGGATGGGGTTGGGGCAGGAGCTGGGGGAGGCTGGGAAAGGGGCTGTGGCTGGGGGAGGCACTGGGGCTGGCGGGGCTGGGGAAGGGTCTGGGGCAGGGTCTGGGTCTGGGGGCGGTGCGGGGGCGGTCCCCGGGCGAGGGGAGCAGATAAAGGCAGGGCTGCGGGGAGGCGGCAGGCAGCGCAGCCGGGCGTGCGGACCTGCTGCTCCGACGGGCATCCCCTGCCCTGAGCGCTTCTGCGGGCGGCAGCATTAGCGGGGCAGCGCCATGGGGGCGGCGGCGGGGCTGGCTCTGGCGGCCGTGCTGGCCGCGTTCGCGCTGTGCGGGCCCGGGGCGCTCGCCGGGCGCGTCCTCAGCGGTGAGTGCCGTGCGGGGGCCGGTGCGGGAATGCGGCGCTCGCAGGGCCGGGAAGCAGGGGTGGGGGGGGAAAGCTGGGAGCGAGCCCGCTGGTTGGAAGCGCCTCCCGGGCGCTCCTGCCCCGGCACGGCCGTCCCGGGGCTGCGCTCCCGGCAGAGCTGGAAGCAGCTCCAGGTTTGGGTCCGCAGGCTCCCGCGGCAGTCTGGAGTGAGTTCCTGCCCCGCGCTGTTGGGAGCTGGCTGATTGCGGGAGCGCTCCGGCTCCCTTCGAGTTGTTTAGAAAGATCGAGCGTGTGCTCCCTGCGGCGTCTTGCCGAGGAACAGCTGTGCCTTGAGTTTTGTTGGCACCTGCACAGGGATGTTTCTTCTTTGTTTGTAGTGTGGTCAGGAGGGAAAAGCAAACTTCTAAGAGCAGGTGGCATAAATAGTCTTATTACGTGTAGGTGCGTGCACAACTCTGAGAGCAGAAAGGAAGACAGTACTTTAGAAATCTCTATATTAGGTTTAATTTAAGAACTGTAAGCTCACGCTGTGTGTTTCCAGTGTACGGGTGCATATGCTCAGAAACCACTAAATGTGATGAAAAGGCGATTTTTAATTGTACTTTGGCTTAGACCCTCCAAGCTAAAGCTCAGAGGAGGCATGTTACATGTGCAGCACATCCATGCATTTACCTGGAAACAAAGATTTACACTGTCGACTGTGCTTGTTAACAAGTTGTGTGTAAGTGTCTGTATATGCAGGTAGAACCACTGCTGTTTATGAACTGATTCCAGAACAATTATTTGTATACAATTGTTTCAGAGACTGTAATGGACATGCTACTGCATATCAAGAAAACTTTTCTTGCAGTTTTTTGTGGGAGACATTTGATGTCTGAATTTGGATAACTTTCTTAATTGCTGGTGGAGTGCAGTCACTGGCCATTCTGATCATGTTTTATTTGAAGCATGTTCAAGTGCAGAACTGAGATGAGCTGTTGGGCTTTCGGTGAAGCAGTATCTTCAGGAAACAATAGTTAAGTAACAGTACTTCCAACACTTTGAAAAAGCTTGCTTGCCTGAAATACTTAATCTACCTCCATTATAATGTCAGTTGTACTGGCTGATATACGTCAAAGCTCTTTGTATAACAACTCATATGAATCCTATGTAACACTTTATTTTTAAGGAATAGAGAAGATTAATCTTTCATGAGATGCATTTTGCACTAGTAGTCTCACTGCTGGGGTCCATGTGTGACAGAGGAAACCCAGTCACTTAACCTTCCAGATGAAGCTTCTGTGTTTAAGTGAGATGTAGCAAACTGAGTAGAAGTCCAGCTTTTAAAAACGATGGTGTGTACTGCTTAGTCAAATTGTTCCTCGATGCATAAAAATGTTTTGGGACTTTGAAAGAATACAGGCTCTGCCTTATTATTCCCTGAAACACTTCAAAGCATATAATGAACCTCATGTCAATGGATTATGCAGCTAACACTTGGCTGGTAGAATACAGGGGAAGATCTGAAGACACTTACAGAAGAACCATTTATGTACTATTAATTTATTAGCTGAAGTTGTATTCATTAGGTAAATAACAGCCAAATAATTATTATTCTTCTACCAGATACTCTAATGTACTGACAGAAGAACTCTTTTTAAATTCTATTTTTTCTTTTCTTCTCTTCTCTCAAGGACCACACCCCTATCCTGCCACATGCACAGGAGCAGGTTTAGTACTAGTAGTAGTTGACACTTTTTCAGACAAGAAATAGTGCTATTGAATAATTGGGCAGTGTGTGCTGTCCACCTGACTCCCATCTAGCTTATATCTCTCTTTGTGTAAGAACCAACAATTTGGGCTTAGACAAGTTTGTTTCAATACATAAGTCTATGTCTTAAATAGACCTGTTCCTGACAAATTGCTAATTTATGCTTCAGTCATGATAAATAATCTGGAATGATTGGAAATATCACTGTTCTCATTCCAAATAAATATGTAATTCCTACCACTCACAAAGAAGCTGTTTGTGAAACTGGTTTGAGTGCTGGTTGGACCTTGTGGAATGAATCCCATTTACTGCAGTAAGTTTGTACCAGGCCTGGCAATAATTTCAAATTTGCAACCATTTAGACCACAGTGTCAAGAGGGCAGAGAAGGAAGGGCCTACATTTTCAAAATGACATTTCCTTAAGTAAAGGGCTTCTTTTACTCTTTCCAAGTATGTTAATTTTCCTAGGATGTAATTAAAACTATTGCTAACATCAAATAATTCACATTCAGGTGTTATTTCTTTGTCATCTTGGATTTAGGAAGTTTTGAAGAGTAGTAATGCAAATGTTTTATAATTTTTAGTGTAGTTAGACAGATGGTTTGTGAGCAGTGCTCACAGCCTCCATATCAGGCTATCTAGTGTTGCCAGAGAATTGATTCTTGAAGAAAAAAACAAATCAAAGCAGGCTCAGGAGAAAGTGCTGAGTCTGCCTTGCTGTCCCATGACATCATAAAGAACATGAAGTGATGATAATGCAGTTTGCAAAGATGCAATTACTTTAAGTATCTATTGGGCAGGAGAGTTGCAAGCTAATCTTATTACTAATCATTTAACAGCCTATGTATTAATCATAGATGTTATAGTTTAATGACTGCTGTTTGCTGTCTGCTTGTATTTCTATGCTTTTTAAAATTTTGCTATTTGCTATGGCTATGCATCAATAGCCAGATTAAATAATGATGCAGTATTTTAAAGCAGTATGTATCTATTTTGGTGTAGAAGTATTTGGGCATATAAAACACTAAATGAGGAAAAACATTTGGTGGGTCATGAAAGCACAAGAATTACCCCTAAACTATAGACTTATTCACTTCAGTTGCCTTTAAGGAAGTGGGTATATTCATTCACAAGGCTGATAAATCAGATCTGAGTTGTACATAAAATACTGCAAAGTAAGATAATCAAAGAAGTATCTTCATGAGTACTGAATTGGATAGACCCTTTCTCAAAAGGGTTTAACTTAGTTGAATTGGCTTGACCTGCTTATTACAGTTTTGTCTGTCAAACTGTTAAGTATTTTCTGTAGATGAAACCTTCTACTGTAAAGTTGTGGGGTTTTTTTCATTTACAGTTCATTTTAAGATACTTTTGTGGCTCAGAATTTGAAAGTATGACTTGAAAAAACCACTACCTGTCTTGTCTACAGGATACATGTGCAATAGGTGTCTATTGAACGCATTTTATTGTAAATTCCAAGCATTCAGCTCCATTCTAGAAAAACTTTTAATGCACATGCATGACCACATAGTACAAGATCTTTTTACTCAGTTTTAGATCTCAGTAATCATTAAACCTGGGACTTGGAGAACTTCAGGAGAAGCTGAGCATTTAATTCCCCTAGACTTCTTTATCAATTCCTCTCCTTATCCACCTATTCTGAGCAATGTCTTCTTGGAGATAAACCAATGATCTGGGCTCTTAAAGTGAAATGAGGTGATGACTCTTGGATATAATGCATATTTCTATTAAACACACCTTGCTCCTCACCAAGAAATTCCACAATACCGTGTGAAATACCAGAATGAGAACACAGTTTTGATAATGGGAGATACATGATGGTGGATGAGTCCTTATAGAGCAAAGTAGAAATACCAAACTACTTGAATCGATTTTAGGAGCCAGATTTCAATTTTAGAGGTGGTTTCCCCTTGATCAAACCAGTTAGGCTTACCCTGATTATGGGGGAGAGCTATGCAGGTTGGCAAGATTGTGGTTCTGCTCAGGGGCTAAGGGGAGTGATGGAAATTTCCAGCGCTATGCCTCAGGTGAGCATGCAACTTTTCCAGGAATGCAACTTTTCCATCACAACATCTTGTTCAAAAATAGAGGAAGGCATTGCAATTCTCAAACTCGTGGTTGTCAAGCCCCAGTACTCCACTTGGCTGAAGAGCCCAAGAGGAAATTCTTACCACGGAGGGAGCTATGGTAAATAACATATGGAATGGTATGGACAGTTTGGGATTTTTTCACATGGCTTTTCTTACTCTCAGTGAGACAAGGTATCTCTCCCAGTGCAGCAGCCAGGTGCATTTGTTGAACTCATGTTCTGTACCCTGACTTTATTCTGTGTAGTTCAGATCTGATCCTGTGTAGATCCAACTTATTGATTATAAGATGTTTGCAGGAGAACATGCTTTGGTTCATAAGGGCTCTGTACAGCACTATTTTTCTGAAACTAATTCTCATAATGGCTTTCTCTTTGGAAATCTCTGGATCAGAAAAGACTTTATAGTACCAATGCAAAATAAGTAAGATGAAACAATGATTTGATAGCAATTGCTGCACTCTAATCCCATACTCATACCTGTCACTCAATAGTTGGAAACTGAGTCTCTTGCTGAAGCAGTCCCTACTCCCACCACTGAGAGATAGTAGGACCTTCAGTTCCAAGCAACCTTAAGAAATAATGAGTCCTAACTAAAGAGTTGGCATGGCTACAACTAAATGTAAATGTAGCTGCAACTAAATCAAAATGTAGGTCCAGCTAATGACTCTAGGTTCACTTTATGAGAGAAAGATAAAAATGGTATTTTTAGAGTGGGATTAATTTCATTTTGCTTTAGATCTTGAAACTATCACAGATACACCCTAAAAATGCCTCTTTCGTTCAGTTGTCTACACAGTAACGTCAGTGAACCAGTTTAGATGTGGATGGGTACATTGGGAATAACTAAAATTTGGGAAGATGAATCCTACTTTGTATCTCAACAATTTATTCCCCTATAACAATGTACATGTAATGAGAATTAACCTGTCATGCTTTACCTCTATTTGACTATTTTTCTCTCAGTGTATTGTAGTACCAATTATAGTACAAATTCTAAGATTCCATGTGGATTGACTTTTCCCAGTTTCTTGGAGGAATGTGAATGAGTAAGGACTTACCTGTTGATTTGTCTTAATTGTGGAACTGCTGCAAAAAGAAGGCACTCTACATTCTTGTACTGAGATGCATGTTGGGTGCTCCACCCCAGGAAACTCTTGAGTCCATAAATTAAGGAAATTAATGTAATTTTATATCCACATATATATATATATGAAACGTAAATCCATGGGAAATATAGATATTTTGGCAACAAATCCATGAAAATACATTTATTTGGAAAAAAACATTCAAATTTCCACCAAAAAAGGGTGAGAATGGATGATGCTTGCTCTGAAAAATAACTGGGAAGTTTTCTCTTTTCTCCTCTTTTTCTGAATTTAATTGACATAGGACAGTTCTGTTGATCATGGGAGATTTAGGTTGAATATTAGGAAAATGTTCTCTACCCAGATGATGGTTAGGCACTGGAACAGGTTTCCCAGGGAAGTGGTCACAACACCAATTCTGCCAGAGCTCAGGAAGCATTTGGACAATGCTCTCAGGCACCTTGTGTGGCTCTTTGGATATCCTGTGCAGGGCCAGGAGTGGGACTTGATGATCCTTGGGGGTCCCTTTCAACTGAGGGATATTCTGTGACTAAAGATTTATGAACTATTTCCTTCTAGAGGCAAAAATAAGAAATGAGCCATCAGAAGAAATTCTCAGAAGTGCTTAAATTTATGCTTAGGAGTAAACCTGTAGAGGGAACCTACTGATTTATATAAAATCGGGTATTTGTGAAAATGCCTGCTGTTTTGGGACAGGGTACTATTACTCTTCCCTGCTCCCCTAGGCTGGAACACGTTATACTTAAACCATTCAGACTCTCCAGTTCCTGTTATGTCTATTCCACACCGCTTTAACAACAACTTCTTAGCTGCCATGTCTGTCTTTAAAGTTTTTGGGAAATCTGATCTGGGTTTGACTTCACTATAGACTTAATTTGAATCACAGAATGGCTTGGGATGGAAGGGACCTTAAAGACCATCTTGTTCCAACCCCCCTGCCACAGACAGAGACACCTTCCATTAGACCGGGTTGCTCAGAGTCCCATCCAACCTGACTCTGGACACTTCCAGGGATGGGGCATCCACAAGTTCCCTGTGCCAGTCTTGAGAATACTTATGCTGTTTTTTACATAACAGCTGACATGATGGAACACTTTGTATGCCTTTAGGAAATGGTGTATAAAAAAATTATTATGTTAGTGTGTTCTTAAGACTTTTAAGAAAAAAGAAAACAGTAAAGTAAAAACTCTGCTAAGAGCATCAGCAGTAAGTGTATTTTCTAAGTTCTGGGTAAATAATCCTGGAGCAGACTTGTAGGTGTGTAGATCTTTCCAAGACACCATATTTCCTCTTATTTTGAACAGATTTCCACAGATTCCACTCATCTTTGGGTATTATCATTGGTCTGCTTGTGTCCATGGAAGTGAACAGAGTTATTTGTACCCATGAAGAGTGTTATTCTTTGGGTAGAATTGTAATTTTTAACAAGCACAATTCATTGTTAGGGAAACTGAGGTCCTGAGCATATAGTGCAGAAGAAAATGGATATGCTCCACATCCTGTGCTCATGGTGACATTTTTCTTATTGCCAGTTGATCAGATGCAGATTGTACCAAGCTGAAGTGCAAGCTGATCCTCTCTGGGTGCCAGCACAAAGTTTCTAAGTGCAGTGTCCTCATCGTGCCTGGTGATGCCAAAGAGCCTGTGTTGCTCAGTGACAATGTTTCTAGACCTCTCGAAGGCAGACAAGGGAAAAATATAGGTCTGGCACCAATCTCTGTTCCTTCTTAACATGGGAATAGAGAAGGCAACTGGCAGATGGTTGTCTTAGCAGCTGTGTTGGCACTTAGGGTGAACCTCCAGGACAGTGCAGCTGTGTAGTGGCCCCTTACGGAAGTAAGTAGCTGTCTGCCATGATCAGCCCTGTGATATATACCTGTAAAGTTCACATGATCAGAAGAGAGAAAAACTGTTATTACAGGAAAAGCTAAATGGATCACATGCTTTAAATTTATGATGTGTTATATATCTGAAACAGAGCTGATGCCAAAATGAAGGTATGTTTCACTTAGAAGAAGGAAAAGCTGTCATGGCTTTAATGATTTGACTGTGGGGGGAAAAAAGGCAATACTTTTTCGGAAATACCTTATAGATTTTTTTTTTTTTCTTTTTGACAATGACTTATGACCTGAATCAGTGACTAAAACCTTTTCATAAAAATGGACATTTATCTCCTGGCTGAAGACACTTACCTTGTATTGATTTACATATTTGTAATCGTATGTTTTCCTGCAATGGTAATTATGGAGGGTGAAGTGTTGAATAGCTTCTAATGAGATTTAGACATCAAGCTGCTTGTTTACAGCTCCTTTATCAGTGGCCTGAGATCCCTACTCTGTGTGTCAGGGTTGAGAAGCTAACTATGAGAAATAAATGTTATTTTCTTTGTGAAACGAGTGAATAAACCCATCACTGCCTTGTGAAGATGGCAGCTTTCATTGCAGTTCCCGGTACATCAAGAGTAAATCTGTGTCTGAAACACCACATCACTGATTTTGAAAATCCAGACAAACTTTTAAGTCTACTCTGGGAAAGACAAATCCTCCCAGTGTTTGTTCAACATAATGAAAAACATTTTGCAGGACAAAAGATCCTAGCTGGCATCTTCCCAGGACCTAGAACAGTGCAAGTTCTGAGCACATAGAGGCTTTGACAAACCTCCCCAAATGTCATATTTAGATCAATACTTGTCATAAGTGTTCATTTGTATATTTTTAACAACCAGTAATCTTGTTGTAATATGCAGGGAAACTATCAGATTGAATTTTAATTGCATTTATATTCAGCCAGATGGCAAAATCCAGGTGCTAGTGATAAATAATATTTAATATTTAAATCAGAACTGTTTAATGATCCTTTACAAATGGACTGTCTCCTTTTGATTTCTTGGTTTTGTAAAAGTGTAGCTATTATGGGTCTATTGAGAACAGTTTTTATTCAGAAATAACAAGTCAACTTCTTGTCCCCAAAAGTGCTTAGGAACACAATGGCTTTACTAGTTAACAGCTGAACACCCAATTTCAGCAATAAATGAACTGATAAGAAGAGAAAATTAAGACAGGGACTTGCCTGGGACAAACACTCCTTGTGTAATTTCATGTTCTGCATAACTGTACTAAATGTCTGATGGTATAATACAGTACTTTATTTTTGCTTAAAATTTCCACTGTCCCTGCTTTGTCACTTTGCAAGATTTGCATTAATCCTAGAGATGGCTGTTTGGCTGGTGTCTGAGGACCTCTAGCATCATCTTTGCTACGATACAAGATATGGGATGGTTAATGGCTACAGATAGATTTGACCTGTGTCTGAGAAAGAATATAAAGAATTTCTTTTAGTGATCATTTCATACATGCTATCTATACATCTGTAACTTTTGCATGTTAATGACCAGACATTTGGCTAGAAAGGGACTCCATTATAAGAAGTATTGTAAGAAGTCTGGTTAATAGATGAGTTTTGCTTGAGAGGTTGGGGCCAGCCTCCAACAAGCCACCTTAGACATTGTCTACATGCTCATGACTGATATGACGCATACAAAGTGCCTCCCTGTACACATATCTACTTGAAGTACAGCTACTAGATAGGCAAATATGGCCCTCAGATATTTTATATAAGCCATTAAAAACTACTTGGAACCTTTGAAAATTTTTCACATTGGAAAAATGTATGATGACAATTATGCATAACCCCTAATCCAGAAGAGGTATAAATCAGTAATGAATGTGTCTTCTGTTTGCAGACTTGGTTATTAGGAGGGTTGGATGAAAAAATACCTACTAAGGTATGGAAGAGATAGCTATGAAGATATTAATATGGATACAGGCTGGTGGCTGATCTGTACAGGAGTTGGCATTTGAGTGGCAAATTTGAGAGCACACAGAATTCCTTAAGCAGCTCAGAAGTGTTAGCTCAGAATCATCAGAGGTTTGAACAGTGACTCAGCTAGAGAATGTGTCTTAGTGTTACAAACTTCGAGAGAGAAGATGGCA